ACAAAAAGATACAAATAGGTTTGAAAGAAGTGGAATTTTTTAAATGCTATGAATTCTAAAACAATGTTTAAGCAACACAGATGAAGGCAGAAAAAAGGAAAACAAATAAAAAACAGAGGGAACTAGCATGATTGTAAGCATATTTCTTAGCAAAAGCATTATGAAGTAATCAAGCTCCCTATCTGATTGCACAGGATATATTAAAAAGAGAAACCCTAACGATACTGAAATTATATGTCCCAAGCTATACAGCAACAAAAAACATGAACTAGAAAGTGCCAGAAATGCAAAAAGAAATGGGAATATAAATATAATTTAAAATCTTAACAATCTATTATCAGATTATGGCAAAACAGACACATAGACACATTTTTTTCTTAAAAGTTGAATAAAATAAACAATAGTAATAACTCCATTAAAAACTTAACAGTAAGGAAGAAAATATATATTCTTTTCAAGTTATCATGAATTTTTCACTAAAAGTAACTGTATTTGGGGAAACAATGATGTGACTGGGAGATGCACTAAGGCAGAAATTCTACACGCAGTGCACACGGACCACAACAAAGTTATATATGATGACAGAACTTAAAAGTGTCCAAATAGACGTATATTTCTATATGCTTCCAAATGCTTAGCTAAATTACAAAATAACACAACATGCAAATACATTATGTCAACATTTATGGGATACTACAGGGTCAAGCTTGCAAGCAGGGCTTTCTAAGGATAGTGTCTTAGGCCTGCTATTAACTCTTTTCTGCAGGCCTTCTCTCTAGGATTTTGGCTCTGAGGGTCCTAGTTGCCTAAAAGTTTTCCAATGACTTCAGAGTTTTGAAAAAGTTTATCCAATGTTGAAAGGAAGAGGAGCTACACAGTACCTTCTATGCTGCCACCCATTTCCCGGATTGGATTCGTAGTCTATCTAGTAAAACAGATCTTTATTCACCATCATGTGTTAGGTATCATACTAAAACTTCCACAGTGCAAGGGTCCAGTGAGGGAGACAAATATGTGAAAAGATAACCCCAGTACAATGTGATGAGGATTATATTAGAGCACTTAACAAGTGTGAGCCAAGTGTTATAGGGGTCAAGAAGCTTCAGGAAAAATCTTTGAGATCATCAGTAGAACCCCAAGTCACAAAAGACATACCAATATGCTGTATCTGTAATATTGACCTATCATCTTTGAAAAGGGAGAGATAAACAGAGCTGAAACCATCAGTGTTGAAATGGCTTAGATAAAACTGTAGTCCACCTATCAGCATGATTTAGTTGCTTATTCCAGAAAATTTTTGCCCAGGAAAGATAAGATTGTAAGCAAAACAAACAGAAACCATCTCTAATTTTTTGTTTGCATAAGGAAATTCCCATAGGATGAAGACAATCATCTGCTTACCTGAGCAAACTGCCAGCTTCTCAAACAGGTTATCAAGACTCTTGAAGACCCTTGCTTGCGGTTTCCACTGATCCTAAACCAGTGGTTGGCAAACTGCGGCCCTTTGAGTGTGGCTCTTCCACAAAATACCACGTGCGGGCGCGCACGTACAGTGCGATTGAAACTTCGTGGCCACACTCAAGGGGCCAAAGAGCCGCATGTGGCTCGTGAGCCGCAGTTTGCCGACCACTGTCCTAAACCATTTCATTAATGTTGCCAAAGCCAGTCAGTTCCCCGTTTTCACAGACGTGCCTTAAAGCATTTGGGCACAGATCCCAAAACTCTACAAATATCCCATTTCCAGGTTCTGAGATACAGCTAAGTGTATCAAAGTGGTGCACTCTCTTACTGGTTTTAGTGCTTAGTTTTACTTTATTAACAGATTGTCTGATGATCTGTGGGAGAGTTCAACAATGATGTGGTTGGTTATTTTTTTTTTTTTTTGGTTTTTTTTAAAGGATTGCTCATTTAATTGGTGTGTACTATACAGAGATCATTTTTCTGTCAGGCCAATTCACCTTTCACTAACAGATCTATGTTGCTGTTAGTCAATGTTAATTGGCTTTATGGTAGGGAGGCCGCATTTGGAATACAAGATCTCTTCAAAAATTTGTCCTTTTTAAAACAACCTAAGTGTCCATGAGTGGATGAATGAATAAAGAAAGTGTGGGCTGTTATTCAGTCTTAAAATGGGATATTCAGCCTTAAAAAAGGAAATCTTGCCATTTGTGGCAACATGGGTGGACCCTGAGGACATTATACTAAGTAAAGTAAGTTAGAGGCAGGCGTGGGAGTGGGCAAAATGGGTAAGCAGGTTAAAAGGAACAAACTTCCAGTTATAAAATAAATACGTTATCTTAAAAGTCTCATCACAAGAGAAAAAAAACTTTTTATCTCTGTATAATGAATATTAAGTAGACTTATTGTGATCATTTCACAATATATCCATTGAATCACTATGTTGTAGACCTGGAACTAATATAACCTTATATGTCAATTATACCCACATAATTTAAAAAGGAGGTAAAATCCTTTATAACTACACACCACCACCAGAGACACAAAGATTCAGTGTTGTCATCTACTCAGCTAAGTTTATATAAGAGTCAACCGAGGAACTCGTTAGAAATACAGGTTTCCATGCTTTACTCAAAGTGATTCTGATTCAGGGGGATTAGCAGAAGGCCCAGGAATCTACTTTTAAAAGCACCAGTTTTTCCCTAATTCAGGCTGTCTTTAGATCACACTTAAGAGAAATAAATAAATAAATAAATAAATTATATATATATATATATATATATATGTAATTTTTTTG